CTGCGGCCTCCCTCGTCTCCGGTCTTCTTGACTCTGTCTTGACACCGGGCCCAGGCGGGGGAGGAGGAGAGAGTGTAGGTAGATGCTACGCAAGTCTACTGGCACTATAAACCCCTACGTAAGTCACCGTCCCTGCTCCCACCGCTGCTGCAGCTGTGGGGCACACGGTGGACATCGTCGAAATCGACGGTCGAACTGTCACCAAATATCCATGTAAGCCAAGAAGCCCGAAACGCTGAAGAGAAAAGAAAGGTGCCCCGGCAACTTCCATCGAAACCAACAGGGCAACGGGCTCGTGGCGCAGTGGTTAGAGGCGTGGACTTCTAACTAACAGGTTGCGAGTTCGAGCCTCGGGTGTTCCACACTTCGGGGTTGGGTATGACTGGCTGACGACGGCTAATAAGCCAGAAATGGCCATTCCAGTCTCCCTTGTCTTTGTCGGTAATAGCATACTGCCTATATCATGCGCCGCTGTGCGACTGCTGGTTGGGCTCGAGAAAGAACCCGTAAGGCACAACGGAACGAGTGAGTTCCGTAGAAGCGATCGGTGAGCGCCCCCTACCAACTTCCTCTAACTTATCAGTGCTGAACTCCGAAAACCTAGTAGACGACCTTTTGTCTCCCCAAAATTCTCAAACGGAAGAGAGACCTACCGCGCCATCTGTGTCTGCCACTGCAGACGCATAGGAAGAGTTCGTAAGATTTCCGGTCGTTGAAGGTCTGCGAAGACTAGACTCGGAGGCATTAACATGGCTGCGAGAGCTGGCAGAAACCGGGACGTTCAGGCGCGCGTGCCTTCGCGGAGGGTGGGAAGTCGATTTAAGGGGCACTGCACAGGGTTTCAGCAGAGAAGTCCTAGCCGATTTCGGTCGCAAACGGATGATCTGGGGCGGTGTCTTCCGCCCGCGACTTCGAGCAGACAACGGTAGGAGGGGGTGGGGGCGGGGTGGGGAGGTCAAGTGCCTGCTATTCTTGCGGACTAAAATTTCTGCGTCCAAGCATTCTAGAGCGCGTTTGGACTTCGTGATGAGCTGTCTGAGCCTTGAAACCTACAAGGGAGGAGAAGGGAATAGTAAAAGAGTTATGAATGAGACAGGAAATGGACCACTGCTTGAGTTTTTCTACTAGGCAGTAGTCCAGAGAAAAGCCTCTAGATGGAGATATATCTGAGGGTAAATCCGGGTCGCAGTCTTAGTTTTCCGAAAACCATACAAAAATTTATTTTACAATATGAACTTTACGATCGAAAAGTCAAAAGTGACTTCCTGACAACTGAGCTGGCACTTGAATTAACTCCAAAAGGCAAAGCATAAGGACAATGGGCTGAGGACTGTCAGTACTTCTAAGGGAGCACTACTAAACATGATC